TAAAGTCAACAGCAATTGTGTCTTTGCTGAGCAGTAGTATTTCCAGAAATTTATCCCTTTTCCTGTTATCCCAGTAGGTGAGACCCATGGGAATGACATTTCCTATGAACTCTCCCCAAAGGCTTTCTGGCTTTCTGCTAATCAGCAAATGCCCAAGCCCAAGGGCACAAATAACTTGTTCTTTGTTGTCTCTCTGTCTTTGGCAGCCCACCCATGCATTCTGTGGGAGCATTGCTGTAGAGTAGTCTGCTCCTCTGTGCCCTCCCAGCTGCTGTTCCCATGTCCAGCATGCTGGAAGACCTCTGATGAGGTGATTCTGCTCAATGATCTTGGGCTTTTGGGCACCCCTTGGCTGAGGGCCTGGAGGATGTGCAGGAAGGTATGTCATGTTCGTCAGCAGCCTCTGCTTCACACAAACTGGGGAACACTATCTCCCATGACCTGTCTCCTGATCTGATTTCTTAGGACCAACCTATTTTTGCTAAGATGCTGCTGGACTGGCATTTCTTTTCTGTTTTTTCAAAAGAAGCTGACCAGTTCTGTGACTGGGCTTGGGGGTTAGCAGGGCATCTTGACTTAGATAGTGATGGGACAAAGCCTTCTCTTGAGATTCACTGAAGCAAAAACAAATCAACTTTGAGATGGAAAATGCTATGCAAATATTACCCTATGTGAAACATATTGTGTCTAGCTAACCAACCATGCATTGAAGAACATTGCCTGTAATTGCTGCATCTAACACACGCACGCACTTATATAAAATATACTTATTCATTGTTCCTAAGAACTTCTAGAGACACTTTAGTGCTTTCCTTGAAGAATGAAGCAACATTATATCATTTATTTAATTGCTGCTATATACTGGTCAATGTTACTGCATTGCTAGCATAACTGTCAGTCAGACTAAGCTACAATTTGGGTAACAAATGGGGGAAAAAACCTCACAGCAATATGCTCTGAGAGTAAGTCAGACATGCTGACTCCTTCCCAGAACAAGATCAGATTAGCACCATGAAGAGCTAGAATATCAAATTTAGGAAAAAGGTATATGAAATAATTGTCATTATGCATGGTTTGGCAGGCTGTCTGATTCCCTCATAAGAAAATAGCCAAGTGTTTGATGCTTCCTGTGGGCTGGAAGTTTCATTCTCCTGTTACTTGTGCCATAAAGATGCAAGTATTTTATTCCATAAACTGCAAGAGCAGATAGTATAAAGTTTTCAACTACTGGAATTAAATTGTTGCTTAAAGTCAAATGAGCACAGCACATCTTGGAGACCCTTTCATCAAAGCAGGTCAGTTAACTTTAATGAAGTCATCTTCAATTTGCTTTGATGTAACATCAGAACCTAACCCAGATGATTCCAAATGATCAGCAAATGAATTTCCACACCACAGTCTTTCAAGGTCATAGACTTCATGAAGTGTCTAGTTTTCTGGAATTTTTTTTTTTTAACTTTTAAAGTGCCTTATTTGACCTCTTTATTTTTAGGGAACTGCTGACTTTTCTCTGAAACTGAGCCCCCTTTAAGATTCCATATGTTGGGCACGTAAAGCAGAGGCTTGCAGCATCAGTGCCTGTTGTTAGTGTGCGTGAAGCCTAAGAGTGCATCATGCAGGAAGATTAGGCTGCTGTATTTTTCCTTTTGGGTGGGGAGAGATTTAGAGTCTCGGACGTGTGATTTGCGTAATTACTTGAGGAAGGAATAATTGTCTGGCCAGGGATGGCAACATTAGGCCCTTCTGTTCTAATTTGTCCAAAGGAAGTAATATTAAATACTAAAGCTAGTCAAAGTGCCAAATAGCCTCTCATCCTAAATTGGAAGAAAAGGGATAAATGTTACAATTTCCTTCAAAATGAAGCTCTCTAAAATATTTTCAGAAATACTGAATGTGGAATGAAGTGCTTCACTTAGAAGAATTTCTGTGGTTTGAAATCAAGACAAGTCTTGAAGAATTTTAGTCATGTTTCAACAGAAACTATGATTGTCTTGTTGTCCACTTTTCTTACAGAAAATTCAAACAGTCTTTCTTAAATGCCCCAAGTATCATAACATTTAGGCATCATAATATTTGTTATAATTCAGGACTGCACTAGAGAATGACAACCTGAGAGAATGTCACAAGTCCTATCCAGACTCAGCGCGCTCAGTGATATCTCTTAACACAGTGCTCAAGTTTGGATTTGTCTCCAAGTCAGTTGCCACCAGTGTAAGTCAGCAGGATATTTTGGCTCATAAGCTAGTTCCTATTGGCCAGAGGTTTGGGCAGGAGAAACACAACTCTGTGTTTCCATTTACCTGAATATGCAGCTGGGCAGAGATTCCTGTGGCCAGCCTAGGATCACAAAAAGACTCTTAACCCCTTCTATATCTGCCCAGATGAGGAGCATGGCATCAATGTTTATTGCATAAAGTTGATGAGCAGGAATAGGTGCTCTTCCATCCTGCTGGGGATCAACTCAGTCCAGCTGGACTGATCTCTTGCATTCTCCTTGTACAGTTTCAGACAGGACATGAGTGCTTTCCTACTTATCTTCCATAACTTACTGAAGGAAAATGTGTTTGTGAGAGGAAGACAACATAGCAGGCCTGGGAGGAAGAGTAGTCACTAAACAGTGGGAGGGCTCTGTTTTGTGTGATCATATGTTGGGGGATAAGGCATCAAGGACAGTCCAAATTCCTGCCTTGGCAGTGTGACTGACTGAAGAAGATAGCTGTCTACTGCTGCCACATTCCCTTGCCTTGAGCATACCTTTCATTTCTCCTAGCATTTTGTTTTGCTTACAACTTTGAAGAAGTTCATTATTGATTAAGCATCAGTATCAATCTCAGTAGCTCAGTGCTTTGGTCTTTTCTCTCTGTGTCTCAGTAATACAATACCCTAGAAAAAGATGGTGTTTTGAGATTTCATCTTTCTACTTTCCCCTCATGGGTACGTGACCTGTGAGGTTTATGCTCTCTTCAGTCTTCCTTGCTAGTGAGACCTGGAGTTCACACACACACACACACACACCCTCCCCACCACCCCCACCCACTCTCCATAATAGGAACACGATTGCTTGAGCCTCTTGTTTGCCCCTCTTTTCAGCAACTCACTAGGCTTGAATGCTTGGAGCTGCTTGAATTTTTCAAAGGCTTGATCATGCCAACAGTGTTTTTCTGTAGGACATTACTTTTTTCTTCTTCTGCCCTTCCCCTGCCCCTGCTAAGACGCATGATTCACTCAAAGACAGTTGAGCATTTCAGTGCAGTTATGAGGAACATGAAGAAGATATCAATGACACAAACACTAACAAGGTCTGTCCTTACTTGGGATCACTGATTGCAGCATGTGTGTATTTTAGTAGGCAATGTCTGAAATTCACTACCAAAATTCCTGAGTGCTGCAGGTACTTGGTGCTTTTATGTTCAGACTATTTCTATTGTGCTATTTACCTTAGCACAGGATTTTCTCACAAGCACTGCAGTAGAAAATGCTAAACTTTACTCTTTTAGACCATTAACAAACCATTGTCTCTCTGTTCTGTCCTGTCACTAAGCAGAGAGGATGACGGAGCTATAATGAGTAAGGACAGTGTTAGCAGTGAGGCGGAAGAGAATTCCTTCATGAGGTTCTAAATGGTCCCAGACCTCAGTGTGACTTGGAGACATCAGTCCCATCTTTGTAGTGCCATATATTTTTGTTTCTAGCAAATGTTGACAGTTTCTTTCTGCCTTTCTTTTTAATAATTTAGTTGAAATAATGGCATTTTCCTCTTGAAAAGTTCTTAATTTGAAAAATGTTGAACAGGTCAAACTCTTACTTGTTTTGCTCTGTGTTGTGAATGATTTGGAGGATATTTGTACATTCCTTTATGGTATCCCCAGGATTATTATAAATTACTTTTTTCACTTATAATGACTTGTTGATAGCAAGCCTTTTGCAAAGGAAAGCTTTGACATAAACCACAGGATATCTGGGGAGCTTATTTATGAGATTTCAGCACCAAACTAAATGCCTGTTGCCATGGAAGAAGTTCTTGGCAATGTAACCATATGGGTATTTTTTATGTTGGCTTGGTTTCATTTTACATGTATTTTTTGAGTTGACCAGTGAATGAAACCTGTAAACATCTTGTTGACTGGATAATATCTCAGCACTAGCCAAGTTGAATGAAACCTGTAAACATCTTGTTGAGTGGCTAATATCTCAGCACTAGCCAAGCGGGGCTAATTGTTTTAGCTCCAGTGTGTCCAAATTTGCTGATCCCATGAACTGTATAGAGCTGAATATCCTGCCTGTTTCATTTTTCAGAGATCTGAAGTACAGAGGAGAGCTGGACTAATTGCTAGGTGAGAGACAATGTCAGCTCCCTAACAATTTAAGCACATCTTTGTGGTAACAGGCTGGCTGAGGTATGCAGTTGAGTTCAAATGACCCACACATTGACTCATGCAGTGAAATCAGATTTACCCTGTATTTTCTACCCAGCAGAAGCTGGTGAGCAGTCCCCAGCCATGTCCCTAAGATGGGAACCAAACCTAGACCATTCAAGAGCTGCAGTCATCTTAGAGTCACAGAGCAGATGCCTCAGGTCCAACATGTATTCCAGAACTGACATTAATGTGGAGTTAAACTGACACATCTACATGTGGTAGAAATTCAACATACCCCCCTTAAAATGAGTGGAGCAATAATGGGCTATACTGGGAAACCCTCCAGTTCTTATGGGGAAATAATCTTAACAATATTTTGGCATTTTGGAAAAAGGAGAAATCATGAAAGCTGCTAATTGATTCTTTATAGTTTGCTCTTTATACGGTGATACTACAAGATGTGTTGATTTGGACTCTGGTTTGAAAAGCTGAGGATAATTTCCACGGAGCCATGAGAGTTTCAGAGCTGAGCTTCTTGGGAGTTCAGGTCTCCTTTATCTTAAAACATTCTGTGGTCACAGAAGAGGTTCTATCCATATCCTTTATATTAATAATTTTATTTCTTTTATCTTTTTCATTTAGGTCTAGCAAAACCCATGGGATTAGTTGAAGGTCCAGGAGGCTTGGGCCAGGGGGGAATGGCAGCTACCCTGAGAGATGATAGCCATGAATCAGAAACTAAGTATGAAGAATATGGTTACAATGCTCAACTCAGTGACAGGATATCACTGGACAGGTCCATCCCTGACTACAGACCAAAAAAGTAAGTGGAATTTCACATTATTATTGAGAGTAAGAGATGGATTGTTGTTCTCTTGACCTGTGGTGGCATTCTTTTCTTCACATCCCTTCCTGGTTAGAGGATGACAGCAGTTAGTCATACATATACCCCTGAAATTAGTGAGAGTTAAATAGACCAACTGCCACCTCGAGCACGAAGTACCATGTTAAATACGTAGCTAATTCTGTCAGTAATGCATTAATATGCACATTCGAGGCCTCAGATTAAAAACTACAGCAGGGTATTGGTACTTATTTGGTTTGGTTCACTAAGAAAAAGCCTTCAGAGGTGGCAACTTAGTCTGAGCTTCTTGTAGTCATGTGCAGTACGACAGGGGCACTGCAACAAGCTCTTTGTAGTCACTGGTCCCTTAAAAAATCCTCACATCAAATCAACTGTTTTTAATTGCATTCTTAGAATTGTTTCATGGGGCTTTGCAATGCGCTGAGACATGGACTAAGTGTAATCCATTAGGGTCCTATAATTGCAATGAGATTTCTTTGTCTTTGGAAATGTGTGTCTATTTTTTACTCTAGTGTTTAGAGCCTTCACATGCCTGTACTATGCTTGACATTGCAATTATATGTTTATTATTTGTACTGATTTATTGTATTTCGTATTAAATATCTTTCAAATCTTTCATATTTATGGAGTTATGCATCTTGCAGATGAGACATCCGCACTGTCATCCCCTGAATGACAATCAGTAATGTCTTAATGCGGAGGAGATCAGCAACAATGCCTAGTTGCTCTCAGGAGACAGAATTGAAAAGAATACTTAATTAATTTCTAATAATAATCTTCTGTTTTAAAAGACCCACTGGGGCTCCTAGGCAGAACTGAAAGTTAAATAAAAAAGTATCTTATTAAGTGGTGAGAAAAGTTTAGCCAAGCAAAACAGCTGTGCTCTGTGAGTAGATTGCAATTGAATTAGGATTTTAGGCAGTTCAAGCTGCCAAAAACAAAACTTCATCTTAACTACAAATTTCATTAGCTGTGTTACATATTAATCTGATCTCAGAAGTATTGACTCAGCTTTTGTTTTCTCAAACTCTTGCTGTAGAAAAAGAAAACCTAGATAACAGAAGTGGCAAAGAGAAAAAAATCCATGGCCTTGATGTCACATTTGGTGCAAGTACACTGACTTGCTCAGTGGTCTCATCTCTCCTCCTCCCTTGATGTGTCATAAAAATCCATCATGGAATTATGCTGAGGGGAAAAGTAGTCTGGAGTAATGCAAATATTGGAGTTGTGCATCAGATCTGGTCCAAAGATCCATTAAAATCAATGTGAAGTTTCTCAAATGAAAGTCAGTGAGGTTTGGCCTGGCCTGTTATCAGCTGCTGCGGTCAGGTGGATGAGGATAAATGAGATATGTTCTGCTAGGAAATACAAAAGCAAAGGCTGCAGAGCTTGAATCTAGTTTAGCAGCTGTCAGAAGCATGGGAACATGTGCAATGCAGTGATGTTTCACTTCACATTATACTCTTCCACCGTTCTACTTGGAAGCTTTGATGAGTCATTCAGATAAGCTTTTTGACTTACTTGTTTTGGGTATCTCATAAGGCCATGCTGCATGATTAACTGCCTGAGTTAATGGGAGAACTGCCTTCCTTGTCATGTTTTGACACATTTGCAGTGATTCTAGTTAGATCTAGATGCTGGAATTGATGCACTTGTCTCTAGATGCTTATCAGTAACGGGAAAGTCCTTCAGATGAAATTTGCTATGAAAAATGACTGAAAGTTTGGACAAGGTAGAAGATCTTATTATATGAAGAGTTTTGTCCACTTACATGGATTGAGAACAGCCCTGAAGAGAAGGACTTGGGGTGTTGGTTGACAAGAAGCTCAGCATGACCCAGTAATATATGCTTGCAGTCCAGAAAGCCAACTATGTCCTGGGCTGCATCCTCGACAGCGTGGGCAGCAGGTCAAGGGAAGTTGTTCTGCCCCTCAACTCTGCCCTTGTGGGACCCCACCTGGAGTGCTACATTCATCTCTGGGGCCCCCAGCATAAGGAGGACATTTACCAAATCTGAGCTTGAGTATCTCTTTGTTTTAGATATTTATTTATATATGGGAGTGAACTAAACCTCCAGATCCTTGAGACAGGCAATGGGAAAACCACTTTTGTATTTTCCAGCTTTTGTATGCTGACTTGCCCAATGGTCTCATCTCGTTGTCTCTTGGTAATAGCTCTCATTGTTGGGCCTTTCTCAGTTCGTTTGTGATTTAAATTCATGTCATTCCCAGAACTTTTCATTTTTTAAAAAGGGAGGACTTTTCATTTCTAAGTTGAGAAGCAAGGTAGAATTAATGTCCAAGGCCACGTTCAAAGTCCATGGCCAGTCTATGAATAGAAACACTTCTCTGAATTTGCATTCCCCAGGTGTTAAACCATACTTTCTCTCCATTCTGGATTCCATTTTAAATAGTCAGATCCACATATTTGCACACACCAATAGGTATTAAAGATATGAACAGGGAGAATTTATACTCAAGTCTGTATTGCATAGGTACAATTTATAAAAGTAAACATGATTTTACTATGCAGATGTGGGACTCGTAATATTCCAGGCTTGATCAGAAATACTGTCTTTATATTTTAACTTCCCCCTTATTGTTGTCCACTATCTTATTCTGATAGAATAAGCCTTCTGTTCCATCTACTAGCCTAGGTTCATAAGCGTTCAGCAGCTTAATTGCTTTTCAGGAGATATTTTCATCCCCACACAGCAAATTAAAGGCTGTGTTACACTAAAGAGGTGCACAGTCAGCCAGTGTGACTATGAAGGCTCTTAATTTGGAGTCACCTCCATGTCCTTCTACTGCAGTAAAGTCTCAAGCCTGGGTGGGTAGTACTGCTCTCAGGATGCTTTTCTCACATTATTTTCTGCTTTCCTACCTGCTGCTGCCAGTGCAGATATTCCTTTTAGCTCAGAAACCTTTTCTTTGGGCTCCGAGTTGCTGTTGGTACAGGAGAGAAGAGCAGATTTGTGTGCCAAACAGAAGCAATGGCAGTAAATAGGTTCCTTGTGATTACGAACCACACAATAATTGCAAAATTATAGTTTAATCCTAGCATGGTGTAATAAATATATCTCAGCTTTTTCTTCTTAGTGTCAGAGATCTGTAAATATCTATCAGGGATATATAAATAATATCAATATCTGAAGTTTTACAAGGGCTATATCACTGTAGAAAATATACTGCAGAGAGCTCAGAATGTTTAATGTCCTGATCTCTCTTCCCAGCAGTGAAGTATTAGCAGTACTTTCTAGCTCTCACTAATATTACCTTATTTCCTATGTGCAATGGAAGAAAGAGAAGCTTCTCTTGTAAGGAACAGATTATTTTCCCCTTGGAAGCACAGGGCCAAGCTAGAGCTTGCTCTGTGGTTCTCTGGAAAAAGTGTTATTTAATGGTGAAGTATTATTGGATTAATTTCCATATATGTTCTCCAATATTCAAAATGAGTGTTGTGATCAAAAAAACCTGAGTACTTAGTGGAAATAATCCAGTGTTGGCTAATGACCCTTATGTGTATGTGTGGGTAAGTCTAAGAACATGTATTCATGTTAGTTATCTCTGCCAACATGTGTAGATGTAGAATAGCCTTGAATCCTGCCCATGGGAATTCTCTGAAATCCTCTGGGCTCTGTCCGTGCCTTTCTTACCATCATGTCAAAGGGACAATGTTTGACTGAATAATCAAAACCAGATCTGAGCAACATAGCTAAGGTTTTGGTAGAGATTCTGCACTTCCCAACAGAAGTCCTCAGAGTCACCCAC